GCGCCGGGTGGGCCGGGCCGTCCTGACGCGGCTTTGTTCTGTCCCCGGCCTCCCAGAGCTGACATCGCGCTGATCGGACTGGCCGTCATGGGCCAGAACTTAGTCTTGAACATGAACGACCACGGCTTTGTGGTGAGTGGTGGGCGCAGCCTTCTCCCTCGGCTCTGTGTGCCCTGGCGGGCGCCGGGGCCGGCCCTGAGCCGCAGCGCGCCGCTCCTTCCGCGAGGGGTCTCCGCGTCTTGCAACATGCGGGAATCCACTGGGTGCGGGCGTGGCAGGGCCGCCCCTTCGGCTCCTGGGGAGGCGTCCTGAACTCTGACCTCGCGCAGGGTCTTAAAGTAGAGATGAATGGTGGGGCTCTGACGTCCTTGCCCGGGAGATCCGGGGGGAGTGGGACTGTTTCTCCTAAACTCTAAAGTGGTGAGTATCATCCGTGACCGCAGACAGAGCCCAGGGTCCAACCGGCCGAGCCTGGATTGGCTTCTGGGTCCTAACCCAGAACAGTGACAGCCGCTACCCAGATGCCGGGTACAGTAGTCCTTTGCCTGGGTTCTCTGCCTTCTCTTCCCACCCAGGTGACGTAACTTAACGGTGACCAACCTGCCCTTGGTGAGGAAGAGGAAGAGGCAGGTCTGACCTCCCCAGAGCCCTGGGCCGAATAGAAACTTCACTGCTACTTGGTTCACAGCCTGAAGGTCCAGTGTGTCCTGGATCCCCTCACCAGGCTTTTGTCCTTTTAGGTCTGTGCTTTTAACAGGACAGTCTCCAAAGTTGATGACTTCTTGGCCAACGAGGCAAAGGGAACCAAAGTGGTTGGCGCTCACTCCCTGAAGGAGATGGTCTCCAAGCTGAAGAAGCCCCGGAGGATCATCCTCCTTGTGAAGGCGGGCCAGGCTGTTGATGATTTCATTGAAAAACTGGTGAGGCCAGCCCTGCCCTCAGCTGCTGCTGGTTTAACGGAGCTGTGTCTGTTCCTTCCTTTGGCTACTTTACTTCTTCTTACTTCAGAGATTTTTTAAAAAAATCTCTGGAGACACACTGCTCAGTTCTGACAAGATGATTGCTTAAATGTTTCAGTGTTGGTTAACTTGATTGGCACTTAGTAAGTAACACTCTATCCTGGAGTGGTAATAATTGTGAGGACACTAAGAGAACTTCCAATAACAGTTAACAATAAGAATCAGTTAACAATATGTAATCTCAGTGGGCTCGCCATCTTTGAGAGTCAGGAAGATTATTATTATTTTTTTGAGTTGGAGTCCCACTCTGTCGCCCAGACTAGAGTGCAGTGGCACACTCCTGGCCACCGTAGCCTCAACCTGCTGGGCTCCAGTGATCCTTCCGCCTCAGCCTTCCAAATAGCCAGAACTACAGGCACACGCTACCATACCCAGCTAATTTTTTTGATTTTATTGTAGAGATGAGGTCTCGCCAAGTTGCCCAGGCGGCTCTCGACCCCGCGGGCTCAGACAATCCACTCGTCTTAGCCTCCCAAATTGCTGGGATTACAGGCTGAGCCACCGAGCCCAGCCCAGAAAGATCTTACAATGTTGACTGCATAATATTTATGAGTGTTTAGTATTCACTAATAAAATGTAGTGTCCCAATTTAGAAATAGATTTCCTTTTGCTCAATATTCCTTTAAAGTAGCAATTTTCAAGAAGTTACATTATTTGCTTATTGGTTGATTGAGACAGGGTTTCAGTCTGTCACCCAGGCTAGAGCGCAGGGGCACGATCATGGCTCATCATACCCTCAAGCTCCTGTGTTCAAGTGATCCTCCTGCCTCAGCCTCCCAAGTGGCTGGGACTACAGGTGCATGCCACCATGCATGGCTTATATAATTTAATATAAATAACAAGAGATCCCCTTAGGGAATCCTAGGAACTGAGTACTTATTTTTGTACCAGTTTGTTAGCTTTAGCATTATATCTTTTTTTTGAGTTGGAGCCTCACTGTGTTACCCAGACTGGAGTGCAGTGGCATGCTCCCAGCCACCGCAGCCTCGATCTGCTGGGCTCCAGCGATCCTTCCGCCTCAGCCTTCCAAGTAGCCAGAACTACAGGCACGCGCTACCACACCCGGCTAATTTTTTATTTATTGTAGAGACGAGGTCTTGCCAAGTTGCCCGAGTGGGTCTCGAACCTGCAGGCTCAGGCAGTCCACTTGCCTCAGCCTCCCAACGTGCTGGGATGACAGGCTGAGCCACCAAGCCTGGCCAACAGTATATCTTTTTTGGAAGAAAAAAATATGCATATAATGAAGGAAAATCAGAAATAATGTATTTAGATATTCAAAAACAGTTCTACAGCAACTGCTCTGAAAAAACCAACCCATTTGGAAGAAATGTTTTCTAAGAAATGCACACTTAGCCTTTGACAATCAACAAAGGGAAGGCTAAGTATTTCTTTTCTAGAGGAGTAGTGTTAACGGGAGTTGTTGCCACAGGAGAAGAATTTGTAACCAGTATGCTACTGTCTTTTAAATAAATGACCTAGAAAGGAAGGACATTGTGATAAAAAAGGACATACTAGACTTTTTGTGTAGCAATATGCCAAGCTGCCCATGATCAGCTTCTGAGACCGAAAATGGTAGATTATTCTTTAATATAGGAACATATAAGTAATGTTAACTGGATCCTCATAGGGAGAAATTGAGTATGAAGTCAAGCCCAGACCGGCTGATGTGCTGTAGGAAGATCTTCTTGCTCAGGTTCAGTCTCTTCCTGACATCTCCAAACTGTGGCAATCAAATCATTCATTCAAACACTAGACCACTGGATATGTACAAACTGGATTCTTACTCTGTTCTAGACACTGATATGTATAGGAATTGTTTTAATATTTTGGAGCTAGTCCTAGCCCTAGTGTTGGGAATATAAACCCCAACACTACCACCAGGCAGGTAGTACACATTAAATATGAATTTTCCAAGTAGGTTTTGTTTGTTGTAAAATCTTTCAGTAGTTAAAGAGAATTATCTCATTTGGGGCGTTCTGACTAGTTTCAATAGCCCTAAGCTTTTAGAGAGTCTAGATCTAACTCAGAGGTGATTACTGAAGATTAAGTAATATTTGCTTTTAGACTATTTATTCGAGATTCATTTTTATTTGTGGCCAGCCTCAGTGACTCAAGCCTGTAATCCCAGCACGTTGGGAGGTCAAGGTGGGAGGATCACTTGAGCCCAGGAGTTCAGACCAGCCTGGGCCATATGGTGAGACTCTGTTGCTACAAAAAAATAAAAATTAGCTGCATGTGGTGTTGTGTGCCTGTAGTCCCAGTCCTCAGGAGGCTGAGGAGTGAGGTTCGTGTGAGCTCTGGAGTTCAAGGCTGCAGTGAACTATGGTCACATCGCTGTACTCCAGCCTGGGTGACAGAGTGAGATCCTATCTCTTTAAAAAAAGGACAAAAAAGACCGGGTGTGATGGCTCATACCTGTAATCCCCATACTTTGGGAGGTCAAGGCAGGAGGATCACTGAAGTCTGGGAGTTCAAGACCAGCTTGGGCAACATAGTACGATTCTGCTCTGTTAAAAAAAAAATCTTGTTTTAACTGGCAAAGGCATGCTTTATTTTTGTCTTTGGTCCACCTTAATGCTAGTGTCTGGTTGCAGGTGCCATTGCTGGACGCTGGTGACATCGTCATTGACGGAGGAAATTCTGAATATAGGGATACAACAGTGAGTGAGCTTCAGTCCACCTTCTTCTGGGTCCTGAGAACATTCTAGAGAGAGGTGTCAGTGTTGCACATGTGACAGCAGGTGAACTGCCCTTCAGTGGGGCTGACTCTTTGGGACTGGTGCTGATGCAGTAGTTCTCAGCCTTTTATCCTGCTAAGACACATTTGATGGGTGAGGATCTCAGTCACACACGTAACTCAGGAGGATGGCTGTCTAGATACCGCAGGCCGAGAGATTATGCCTAACTCCTGCTCTCCCTCCCAGTGAACCCATGATGTGTCAGTGTATAGCGTGGTTGGGAACGGCTGCTCGGATGGTGTCAAATGCTGGGGATGTCCCTGTATGTCCTGAAACGCCGAGTGGCAGTTCTTCATACTTGTATTAAACCAGCTCTTAATCGAGTCTTATTGTACAAGGTCTTTTCCAGTAAAATGGGAATGTATGTTTGGCTTTATTATTTCCTTTTTTGGGGGCAGGGTAAGTATCTTGAACGTCTATATCTAGATATCTATATATCTAGACATATATGCGTGTATATATATATTGCGTATGTGTATATATATATATATATATATATATATATATACACATTTTTTTTAACTCCCACATGAGAGGGTTAAATTTCTTGAGTGATCAGTTATTCTTAGAGCTTTTTCCTTTCCTGTCAAATGTGGGCCCTCCATACTAGTCTTATGTCTCCTCTCATTCATTGTGAGAAACTTATTTTTTGGAATAATGAAATGGTTTTTCTCTTCTTTAGAGACGCTGTCTAGACCTCAAGGCCAAGGGAATCTTATTTGTGGGGAGCGGAGTGAGTGGTGGAGAGGACGGGGCCCGGTATGGCCCGTCGCTCATGCCAGGAGGCAACAAAGAAGCATGGTGAGTTCCATCAGCCCACGCCCACTGCAGCACAGGGCAGCCTGGACTCTGAGAGTGAGTGAGCTGGGAGCAGTCCCGCCCCCGGTCTCTGCGGTGGTGCGAGTGTGAGAGCGGAGGTCACTGAGGGATGCCCGACACGCTGCTTTTATCTAGACATTTTGTTGCTTTGACCTAATATTTGTGCATACTCCTCTTTTGCTTGTCTTCTTCTGTTGTTCCCTCCAAGATGATACTAGAAGTTCTAAATAGGCTTTCAGAAGCAGTTCTGTGGACGTACTGTGCACTGTCTGGGTGTAGGAGTAAGGTCTGCCTCTTTTAGCTGATGTGTGGCCCGAAAATAGCTATTTAATAATTGTGAGCCGGGTTCGGTGGCTCAGCCTGTAATCCCGCGCCTTTGGGAGGCTGAGGTGAGTGGATTGCCTGAGCCCGCGGGTTCGAGACCCGCCTGTGCAGCGAGACCTCATCTCTATAATAAATCAAAAAATCAGCCGGGTGTGGTAGCGCATGCCTGTAATTCCGACTACCTGGAAGGCTGAGGCGGAAGTAATTGCTGGAGCCCAGCAGGTCTAGGCTGTGGTGGCCGGGAGCAGCCACTGTACTCCAGTCTGGGCGACAGAGTGAGACTCCAACTCAAAAAAAAAAATTTTTTAATCAAAAAATCAAAAATAATTGTGAGTAGGCCGGGCTCGGTGGCTCAGCCTACGATCCCAGCACTTTGAGAGGCTGAGGTGAGTGAATTGCCTGAGCCCACGGGTTCGAGACTCGCCTGGGCAACTTGGTGAGACCTCATCTGTACAATAAATTAAAAATTAGCTGGGCGTGGTAGCGCGCGCCTGTAGTTCCAGCTACTTGGAAGGCTGAGGCGGAAGGATCGCCAGAGCCCAGCAGGTCGAGGCTGTGGTGGCCAGGAGGGGCCACTGCACTCCAGTCTGGGTGATAGAGTGAGACACCAACTCAAAAATAATAATAATAATAATAATAATTGTGAGTAATGGAAAAATTGGACTGGGCCTGGGAACAAGGTGGAAATGTTTAATTTAACTTGGGGGAAAAGTTTATGCTGTTCACTGTGCTCTAGAAAGGGAGCAGGTCGACTGGTCTCGGTGGCTCAGCCTGTAATCCCAGCACTTTGGGAGACCGAGGCAAGTGGATTGCCTGAGCTCATGGGTTCGAGATCCACCAGGGCAACTTAGCAAGACCTCATCTCTACAATAAAATAAAAAACTAAGCCAGGCTCGGTGGCTCAGCCTGTAATCCTGCGCTTTGGGAGGCTGAGGTAAGTGGATTGCCTGAGCCCGTGCGTTTGAGACCCACCTGGGCAACTTGGCGAGACCTCATCTCTACAATAAATCAAAAAATTAGCTGGTGTGGTAGCGCGCACCTGTAGTTCCAGCTACTTGGAAGGCTGAAGCGGAAGGATCGCCGGAGCCCAGCAGGTTGAGGCTGTGGTGGCTGGCAGTGGCCACTGCACTCCAGTCTGGGTGACAGAGTAAGACTCCAACTCAAAAAAAAAAAAAGGAACAGGTTGGCCACCGAAGAGGAGGTGCCTGGGTGATATGGAACAGGGATGTCTGAGCCATGAGCGGGGTAGGGGTGGATGCAGAGTCCAGGCAGAAAGGGGCAAGTAACGAACTCTACACAACTCAAGCTGAGGGTAACCCTGCCGCTTAGGCCACTGAGGCTGCAGGAAAGAGGTGGCCAGATAGAAGAGTAGAGAGATGGCACAGAAGAGAAAGAATAGCAGGGGGAGGATCCTTTTCAGGGAGACGTGGAAAGGTAACGTTCTTTTCTGAATGAGCTCGATTTCTGAATATTCCAGAATTGTTAGGCAATGAAGTACAGGAATGATCCAACCCAACCCCCACAAGTGAAGGGCTTATTTTGAAATATTCTTTAAGTTGCCTCTCTGATGAGTGAGTCCTGGATTTGTGTCAATATGTTAAAGTGCAGATGCAGAGAAGCCTTTCTGCTTCTCAGAAGCTTAAACAGCTGTGTGTGTGGCACGTGCCTGTAGGCTCAGCTACTCAGGAGGCTGAGGTGGGAGGATCATGTGAGCCTAGAAGTTTGAGGCCAGCCTAGACGACATAATGAGACCTCATCTTTCTAAAAAACAAAAAAAGTTTCAGCATATTTACCTTGGGGCGCCTGCTATTGGGCTGTCAGGATGTGGACAGTGCCCACGCAAAGGCCTGACACACAGAGTGCTCCAGTCGTCAGCTGACCTTGCTCATACTGGTCTGGCAGAAGTAGAAATGGCACGTTTGCCTGAGAGACACAGTGCAAGTGCAGTGACGTTTAAGGCTTCAGGTACAACTGTCTTAATCCCCAATCCTAAATGCTAACTTTGCAGCCCTGTCAGGTTTTGTGTCTGTACCAGAATCAATAGTGAATAAAATAGTACAGGAGAAGCCTCAGGAGTTCCTGTGTCTTTCTGGGGGAACTGTGGAAGGAACGAAGGACAGCTGCCTTTCCCTGAATAATAATGTGTCTCTTAAAAATATCGGCAGGGCGTGGTGGCTCAGCCTGTCATCCCAGCACTTTGGGAGACAGAAGTGAGACGATTGCCTGAGTCCATGGGTTCGAAACTAGTCTGAGCAACTTAGTGAGATCTCGCCTCTACAATAAATCAAAAAATTAGCCAGGTGTGGTGGCGTGTGCCTGTAGTTCCAGCTACTTGGAAGGCTGAGGTGGAAAGATTGCCTGAGCCCAGCAGGTCAAGACTGCGATGGCTGTGAGCATGCCACTGCACTTCAGCCTGGGCAACAGAGTGAGATTCTGACTTAAAACAGCAACAACAACAAAAAAACCCCACACCGTTCTGTCTCTATCCTTGATCCAAATATCCAGACTCACACTCTATCTGGTAATGTACATCCAGACTGATAAAAGACAGTCTCAAAAGGAACTTCCACATTGCTTACTAACTGGCTTCACAGCTTCCTCTGGGAGTGCAACGGGCCTTCCTCTGGTGCTGTGATGATGTCTCCTCAGCCTTTCTGTCTGTAATATTCATCAGGTAACGTGGCCTCTGCTGTGCGAGCCCACAGGCTCTGGAGCAGTGGGCCTGTCCGCATGAACTAATCCTTGCTTTTTTGTGGGCATTTCCAACTCTCATTAGAAAAAAATGAGGGGGTAGTTTGGTTTGGTGTTCTTGAGTATTTAACTGAGTTCTCAGCCCGTCTCTTCTCATCTGCTGAACTATACTGTTTCTCTCCACAGGCCCCACATCAAGACAATCTTCCAGGGCATTGCTGCCAAAGTGGGAACTGGAGAACCCTGTTGTGACTGGGCAAGTTCTGGGCTACTCTCTAGAGCCAGTGGCAACATGAGCATGTCTGAGTGAAGTATGCACAGTGAAGACCACCCTGGTCCCTGGGGTTAGCTTTGTGACTTCAACCACTGGTATAACTGACGTCTAAAGTACATGCCTGCTGTACATGTGTTTGTATCTTAACTGACTGTCCATAGCCCTGAGGGTGATATTAAAAGCAGCCTTCCTCAAATCGTCTAAAAGAAATAGGGTTTTTTTTAGTCAGGTTCTTACTCTCTGTACCAGGCTGAAGTGCAGTAGTGCGATCCCAGCTCATTACAGCCTCGACTTCCTGGGCTCAGGCAATCCTTCTGCCTCAGCCTCCTGAGTAGCAGGGACTACAGGGCATACTACCATGCCTGGCTAATTTTTTGAGTTTTTGAAGAGATGAGGTCTTGCTTGTTGCCCAGGCTGGTCTCCAACTCTTGGGCTCAAGTGATCCCCCTGCCTCAGCTTCCCGTGCTGGGATTACAGACATGAACCACTTCACCCAGCTGGAAGGATGATTTTTTTCTTTTTAAGCCATGTTACTTTATGGCCAGAGAAAGAATGTCAAATTCAAAAACGGGCTTTGCTTGCCCAGATGAAAGGAAGAGGACTGAATGGGCTGTTGCTATCAAACATCCTGGCCACAAATGTGGACAAACCTCCTTCAGTTTGGGCTTCGAGTCTTCTGTGCTTGAACAGCGCAAGCTGCAGACTTTCACCCACTGTACTCCCTCTTGTATTTTGTGTTGTCACTAAAGTAAACTTTATCCCATACTGTGGTTCAACCCATACTGTGAATGGACAAAGCAGGCTTGGGAGAGCTGACAGCCATTGCAGCTCCTCATTAACTAACTGCGACAAGCCCCTGTCCTACACTGACTTCATTTTCCTTGTCTGGACGATATGGGGTTGGACGAGAAGATCTCCAAGCTCTTTTGAGATCCTGATCCCCTTTAATGGTGCATCGGCAACTTTATGTGCTGATTTTGTTATTTTAGTTTTATTTTGGGAGAAAAGCCATAGGGATGAAAGGCAGACTCAAGCATATGAGGAGCGAGGGGCCCCTCCTCCTGGGCCTGCACGCCTGGTGGTTTTAGCAGCAGAGCCAGCCTGTCCTCCCCTTCCACCAGTGCTCAGCACTGAGCTCAGCCAGAATCTGCTTAGGGTGGAAAGAGACTTGCTGGGCTTGACGTAATGGACTGGGTAACCCTCTCACTAGTATGAAGGACCGGGAGGGGACTTTCATTTCTGACGGTAGATTACTACAGTACAAGTGCAGTGACAGCAACCTCTTTTTATTTTTTATTTTTGTTATTTTTTTTGAGTTGGAGTCTCACTCTGTCGCCCAGACTGGAGTGCAGTGTCTGCTCCCAGCCACCGCAGCCTCGCCTGCTGGGCTCTGGCAATCTTTCTGCCTCAGCCTTCCAAGTAGCTGGAGCTACAGGCGTGCACTACCACGCCCGGCTGATTTTTGATTTATTGTAGAAATGAGGTCTCGCCAAGTTGGCCAGGCGGGTCTCAAACAATCCACTCACCTCCGCCTCCCAAAGCATGGGATTATAGGCTGAACCACCGAGCCCGGCTGCAACCTCTTTTAGATACGCTTAAGGCAGAGTCATAAGGAAAGAACAGTACCTGCCCTTAAATGTCTTGATCAAGTCACACTGGCTTTGCTTAGCCTCAAGGAAAAAATAGTAAGGATACCAGAAGCAGGCCCTTCTCAGTTCACTGGTGGAGTTAACAGGATGGATGAAGTGAAGATGTTACTATGTTACCACATGACCAAAGTGCCAAAGGGAGGTCAGCAGTAGAAATTCAGAGGAGTCTCTGATGTAAGCTTGGTGTATCCATCCAAGCAGTGACTCCTGGAGAGAGGCCACCCAGGTCAACCACACCTGGTCCACGGGACAGGTGTGTCCCTGTAATGGAGACAGGTACAGATAGATGACTGAGAGCCAGATGCCATTAACTTTGGCTCTTGTCACTCCTTTGTTCTGATTTCTTGCCCACAGAACAATTTTCAGATAACCTGGCTTCCCAGATTGCTTACCTACAAAGACAGAATGTGTTGATCAGACTAACACTAAAGCCCATGGCTAAATTTTTCGTCATAAATTCATAAACTAGCATTCTGATTTTACCTTGCTCGTTTATTATAAGTAACTGTCTTGTCAGCATTGGGACCTTGGAAGGCCACATTTCTGGGCGTACAAGGTTGGGCCAGACCTTGGAGCCAAGGTCATTACTTCTCAGTGCCGTTAGGAACAACTACAGGATGTTTATATTTTGAAAGCAACACAAGTGATCCAATTAGCCAGTACATTTTAGCCTCCAGTTGCTAGAAGAGTGGTAATTTCAGGAAGAAGAGGACTTTTTTCTGGCAAGTGGGAGCTGCTTTCTTTTTTTTTTTTTTTTTAGTTTCAGCCAATCAAAGTTTTTTATTTTTATTTATTTACTTATTTTTGAGCTGCTTTCAATGATGATGAGAAAGCGTGGAAGACACGGGTTCAAGAGCCATAGGCACTCAGAAACCTTTAGGGGAAGAATCTATTGGATTGGACGGCAGCTTGCGTTGAATTGCTGTCTGATTCTTGTTTCAACAATACGGCACTTATCTCCTACTTTTCTTTTATGTGGAGAAGTAGTTTTGTGTGGAGAGGTAGCTTTGCCAAATCAAGGCCGAGGGGGCTTCCCTGGTGTTCCTGCCTCTGAAGGCCTCTTGGTGCTTGTCACCCGACAGGTGGGAGAGGAGGGAGCTGGACACTTCGTGAAGATGGTGCACAATGGGATAGAGTACGGGGACATGCAGCTGATCTGTGAGGCGTACCACCTGATGAAGGATGTTCTGGACATGGAGCAGGGTGAGATGGCACAGGTGAGTTCCAGCACCGCCTCCACACCACAGGGAAGTCACTGCTTTGAGATAAGAAGAGACCTGCTACTGACAAGTGATCCTTGTTCCTGTTCCCCTGGCTATCCTGGTAGCCTGTGTGGACTCATCCTAATTTAAGGGAAGCTTACCAGTAATGGGTCTATAAAATATGCTATCTAGTCCTTAAGCAGAAAGTTCCCAGAGTCTTGGGGGTTACTGTTACCACCATTAGAGAGTCTGATTACGTCTGGCTTTGTGTTACTTTATACTCTATCTCACTTAATCCTGCAGTTGTCCCTCCCAGGACATGCAGTAGAAACTTTCCACACTGTTCAAGTTGGGACTGGTTTTCTGATAGTTATTCAAAAAAATTAGTCCAAGTGAAGAAGCCAAAGCATTTCCCCCAATATTTCATTACGAAAATATTCAAGCACGCAGCAAGATTGAAAGAGTTTTAGCCGGGCTCGGTGGCTCAGCCTGTAATCCCGCGCCTTTGGGAGGCTGAGGTGAGTGGATTGTCTGAGCCCGCGGGTTCGAGACCCACCTAGGCAGGCGAGACCTCATCTCTACAATAAATAAAAAAAATTGGTGGGGTGTGGTAGTGTGCACCTGTAGTTCCAGCTACTTGGAAGGCTGAGGCGGAAAGATCGCCAGAGCCCAGCAGGTCGGCCACTGCACTCCAGTCTGGGCGATAGTGAGATTCCAACTCAAAAAAAAAAAAAGAAAGAAAAGAAAGAGTTTTACAGTGAGCATTTGGATACACACCACTTCAATTCTGCCTTCACATTTTCCGGTACTTCTTGATTTATCACATCTGTCCATCCCTATCCATTTCATCTTTTTTTTTTTTTTTTTTTTTT